CATGATTTCACATTTTTGTTATACTCAAAACAATCTCTTAAAAGACCAATCAAATACAATTTCAAAATCGGTCTCATAATGATTTTTAAAAAAATGTCATTTTTACTTTTGTACTGAAAACAAAACCATTTTGAAAACATTACTGAACGGGTTTATATTTTTTTCCGCTTGTTTTCCATTAGCAGCTCCACGGTTTTATTACACAATTTATTTCCCGAATGATACCAGAAAATGAACTTCATTGAGCTAAACTTGCAAGTTGCACCAGCGGAATTAGTCTCAACATAGAAATCGCATTTGTGAAATTACATTATGGAAATTGTTTCTACTTTCTAGTTACGAATTATTCGTTGCTCAATCAAAGCTTCAATTCATCATCTGGATGGATTTTGAGGCAACTTTTTTGGATGCAGTCCTCTTCGAGAGTTTATAATTCACCATCCTCGCGATCTTGTAGAACCAGAAAGTGCTGACTAGTAGCAATCCCACTGCCATGACCTGAAGAACATAGGTAATCCAAACGTGTAATTTAGGTTCCAGATCAGAGTTATATTTGTATATTAGCACTTGGCAGTGTTGACCCTTTTGAATACAGTACCTGTATGGTGAAAGGATTGTTGGCAGATACGGTAACGAAAGTTATGTACGACCCGAATACCATCCTTGCAATAGTGAAAATGACTGCAAAAGAAATCTAATGAAAGAACAAAATTAATCCCATCGTTTCGTGATTTGATATGGTGGATAATTTGAGCAATATTAGGTCGACATTTTAGTCCTCGACTTACATCAGCTGCCAAATTTAAGTCGGTATCTTTGTAGCCGAGTTCTTTTATAAGTTCTCTTACATGGAGGAAAGGACTAGAGAGTTCTGATACCCACAATGCCGCTACCAATTCGGATCCACTCTGCAACAGAAACTCAAAAAAAAGGAAAAAGTTCTAATGGTGGACAAAGAAAGATAAGAGTCGTTTTAAGAACCAACTCGCAAAATTTTTCCAAGCAATGAAGAATGTTACTTATTATTATTATTATTATTATTATTATTATTATTATTATTATTATT